CTCTTAGTCTCATAGCAGTTGTTTGGTCTTTGTAAAGTAAGAGATTATGATGTATATTTATGAAATAAGTGATATATATGTGTGTGAAGGAAATGTGATTTATATTCATATTAGGATAGATTATCATTGCAGTCATGTGACCAGAGAGCAAACAGTTTAAAAATATATTTATTTGCAAAACACCTTTAGATAACATTCCATTGCCATAGTGATTATAAAAAGTATATAGACACTAATTCATTCAACCATTTTTACGTTAAAAAAAGTGTTTCTTTAAAAGGAAAGCATTCAAAGCTTAAAAAAAATCAATCTTTCTCTCACCTGATCAAGATGATTCAAAATTTCTCTAAATCACAACTGCCACACAGAAGCAAACGCCTCCTTTTAACCCCACACCCCACCAACCCCACACATCCCTCCTCCTTCCCCCCACCCACACACCCCCACACCCCCGCGCCCTCCACTGCCCCGTCGAGAGCTGACCTGTGTATTCCCTCAGGCCCGTTGGAGTCTGGGGGAAGATTGTGGGGTCCTTGTGCGCCATCGCCGGTGTGCTGACGATCGCTTTACCCGTCCCTGTCATCGTTTCAAACTTCAATTACTTCTACCATCGGGAGACAGACCAAGAGGAGATGCAGAGTCAGAACTTCAACCACGTCACCAGTTGCCCGTACCTTCCTGGCACTGTTGGTAAGTCGGTGTTTGTTTGTCTTTTGTTTGATTTTCGTGTCTCGGTGTCAATATTTATTTATATTGTTTTCTCTTTCTCTCGGGATTTTTTTTTTTTTTTTTCGATATTCTTTTATGGGGGGGTCAGGGGGAAAGGGGCTTAATGGGTGTTTTTTTCTTTCTTTCTTTTCTTTTCTTCTCGTCTTTTCTCCGTTTCTTTTTTTTCTTTCTCTCGGGTTTGACTCCCTTTTTATATGTGCTATAGGAGGGAGAGGGGTAAAAAAGGGGGTTATTGAGCGAATCATAATGGGTCGTTAAGGACTTGGCACTCTCTCTGGGCCTGGTCATCCGTCCCGCCGGTCAAAAGAGCGGGGTTCCCACAATGGCACTGCCTCCCACGGTGCCAATAAATGACAGCCTGTCCTCGGCATCGCGTTCCTGTGGTTCCTTTGTGTCCCTTGGAGGTATGTGGACGGACTTCCAGAGACGCAATGGTTAACAGCATCGCTAATGAGATCCTCGGCCCGTTAGACGCCACTTCCAGGTCGTGGGCGTCTCACACCCACTTCTCGGAGGCGGTGGGCGTGGCAAGATCATCCTGAGGCGGGCGTTTTTGTTTTTTGTTTTTTTGTTCGGGAGTAAGTGGGCGTGCGGGCGGGCGATTTTCTCCTCGTTCTGGGCGGGATCGGTGAACAGGGAAGGGGTCGTTAGGAGTAGTCACGAGTGGGCGGGCGATAGGGTGCTTAGGGTTAAATTGTCGTTAGGAGAAAATTAGGACAGTCGTAATTAGGGTCAAGTGAGCGTGTTGACACCGCTGGATGAGGTGAGGGGGGAGGGGGAGAGAGGGAATAGGAGGGAAGGGGGATAGAGAGATGGAGGGAGGAGGGCGGGATAGCGGGGGAGGGAGGAAACGATAGAGAAATGGGAGAACGTGATAGGTAAGGAGGAGGGAGGAAGGGATAGAGGGTGGAATGAGGGAAGGATAAAGAAATGGAGGAAAGCAGAAAGGAAGGTATAGGTAAAGAGATGGAGAGAAAGCAAGGAGGGAGGGAGTGGGAGATGGGGAGAGCAGGAAGGAGGGAGGGGTAGAGGGGGGGGAGAGCAGGAGGGAGGGAGTGAGAGCTAAATAAAGGGTAGAGGGACTTAGCTAAAGTTATTACTTGAGTTAGATCTTGAGGTGAGACTTAGCGAGAGAAAGAGATATTTTTATTGTCATTTTTTATATCCCTTTTATTTGTTTTCAATGTAAATATACTATGTAACTTCACAATATGAAGAAGTTTATCAGATTTTTTAATCATTTTCATGAATTTATCCCTGATTTAAGATTTTAGTATAAAAATTATTTACTTGTGAATTAGAATTAATTAAAAGTAACAAAACACTAGGATATATACGCATGTGTTTAAAAGTCAATGAGATTCATATATATTTATAAATTTTGGTTATTTACGTGTCAGATCACACACCCCCATGGCACATACTAGAAATGACACATGGCATATGACACAAAAGACACATGGCATAAATGGTACATGATACTTAAAGCACCTGACACAAATGGCGTATATCACAAGTAAAATCATTCAATAATACCCAACATGACACAAAAAAATACCCCACATGACACCAAAAATCCCCACATATGACACCGCCCCCACACGCACACATGACACCAAAGATACCCTCCACACGACACCCCGAAAATACCCCTTTCCTACATGACACCAATCCCCCACACACGACACCAACCCCTACATGACACCACCCCCACACACGACACCACCCCCCACACACGACACCCCCCACACACGACACCCCCAACACACGACACCCCCAACACACGACACCCCCCAACACACACTCACCTACCCCCCCCATGCCCCCTGCTGGCCGCCCTAACCCCCCGCCGCCCACAGGCCAGCACCTGAAGAAGGACTCGTTATCGGAATCCTCGTCCGACATCATGGAGCTGGAGGAGGGCATGCTGATGCAACATGATCTCAGTAAAAAGCAGAATTGCAACCCTCGCCACAACAACAATATAAACGCCATGAGCATCGAGACTGATGTCTGACACTTGTGTGAGTATCGCCGGCCGGAAATTGGCGCCGTTCTTGCTAGGATTAATGTTGGTGTTTAGGCCGGGCGGCGCCGAGGCCCGCCCGCCGGACGGGGGCGGGAGGCGCCGGGCTCGCGCGCGCGCGCCTGTGTGTGTGTCTGCATGTATGTGTATATATATATGTATATATATATGTATATATATATATATATATATATATATATATATATATATATATATGTATATGTGTGTGTGTGTGTGTGTGTGTGTGTGTGTATATGTATGTATGTATATACGTGCAAATATATGTATGTATGTGTTTTTTGTGTGTGCTTGTGCGTGCGTGCGTGTGTGTGTGGGTCTGTGCGTGTGCGTGTGTATGTAAAACTCACGTGTGTCTCTTTCTAAGTATTTCTCTCCCGCTATATTTCTATGTCTAATAGCATCAGTAAACTTCAGTGCATGGAATTTACTAGTATAAGTTTTTTATCAGGTTTGATTTTATTACTGTTGACGTTGATTCATAACAGTAATGATGATTATTGTTGTTAGTATTATAAGCCCTATTATCTTATCATCTTAGTGGTATTATATATATTAGTGTTCTTGTTCTTGTTGTTATATTTTTTGTGTTTTTTTTTACAATTACCATTACAGATTTTATTACTGCTACTATTACTATTATTTTAAGTACGTAGTTAATGGAAATATGTATGAATTAGAAACAAGCGCGAAGGTGAGTGAAAGAGAGCGTTCCCCCAACTCAAAAAAGTTTTTTAGAAAGAAAAAATAAGTTTTAAAAAAGTTAAAAAGTTATTTACTTGTTTAAAGTCTCTGAATATATATATATATATATATATATATTCAGAGGCGGTTTTAACCTATGCTTGAAAGTTGAAACTCTGATCTATGTCTTTTCTTCTCTCTCTCTCTCTCTCTCTCTCTCTCTCTCTCTCTCTCTCTCTCTCTCTCTCTCTCTCTCTCTCTCTCTCTCTATCTCTCTCTCTCTCTCTCTCTTTCTCTTTCTCTCTCTCTCTCTCTCGCTTTCTTTCTTTCTCTCTTTCCCTTTCTCTCTTTCTCCCTCTCCTTCCTTCCCTCCCTCTTCCTCCCTCCTTCTACCCTCACACAATATAAACCTTCTCTCTCGCCCCTCCTCCTCCTCCTCCTCCTCTTCCACCTCTCGCCCACCCTTCTCCTCCTCCTCCTCCTCTTCTCCTCACCCCTTTCGCTCCCCCCCCCCCCCCCCCCCCGCCCCTCCCACCTCTTCCCTCTTGACCCGCTGTTCGGTCGAGTGATAAGACGCAGAGAACAATAGTATGGGACTTCGGTTGCGAGAGGAGCGGAGGCGGAACTGGGGATCTTGAGGCTGGGTTTTACACCTCGTCATTTTTTTTTCTGTTTTCTTCTCCTTCTTCTTCTTCTCCTTCTCCTTCTGAGCCTCCTTCTCTTTCTTCTTCTCGTTCTTATTTTCCTTCTTCTTCTTCTTCATCTCCTTCTCCTTTCCTTCTCCTTCCCCTTCCCCTTCCCCTTCCCCTTCTCCTCCTTCCCCTCCTCCTCCTCCTCCTCCTCCTCCTCCTCCTCCTCCTCCTCCTCCTTTTTTACTTTTTTTTCACTCCTTTCACTCCCTCTTACCTGAGTAATATGAGAAAAGGTGTTGCAAATGCCGTTCAGCATTCTGCGGTCCTCCTCGTGCGAATGAAATGTATATTTCTTTGTTACTTTCCTGAGTAACAAATCGTTTGAAAGGAGTAGCTGTACGTAAATAGAGCTAGTACACGGACGTCTGTATTTTTTGTTTTGTTTTTTTATATAAAAAATACTCCCCACCCCCTTACCCCCACCCACCCCCACCCCCCAAAAAGAAAAAAAAATATATGTAAATATATATATTTAATATATATACTCTTGTATTACTAATGATTCTCTTTAGTCCCATAGCCTCTTCATTAACTCCCATTAATGTAATATGTTCGTACCTCGTAACTTCCACTTTTTTTTCTTTAGCCGCGAAATAAAAAATCAAACCTTAAAAAATATTATCTTTGGTTCCGTAACCCCTTCATTAATTCCCGGTTCCCGCCTCTCTGATTTCCAATTACATACTTGCCATTGCCTCCCCCCCTCCCCTCCCTCTCCCTCCCCTCCCTCTCCCTCCTCTCCCTCTCCCTCTCCCTCCCCTCTCCCTTCCTCTCCCCTCTCTCCCCCCTCCCTCTCCTTCCCCTCCCTCTCCCCTCTTCCCCATCATTCCCCCTACACCCCCCCCTCTCTCCCCGACGCCCTATCTTCTCCCTCTCCCCCTATTCCCCACCGTCTCCCCCCAACTCCTCTTTTTCGTATCCACAACTCTCCCTATAACCCCCCTCTCCCCCACTCCCCCCATCACCCTCCTCTCTCCCTCTCTCCCCATCACCCCCCTCTCCCCCACTCCCCGCACTCTCCTTCACCCTCCACTCACTACTCTCCCCCACTCCCCCACTCTCCACCCCATTGCAAGATGCAATATTGCTTCATTCTTGCAAATCCTACGAAAGGAAAATTATAATAATAATGATGATGACGATATAATGATGACGATGATGCTGATGATGATAACAATGAAGATAATAATGAAGTTGACGATAACGCGTGATGATGATAACCATTTTGATAGTGATAATAACGACGATAATGATAACAATGATGATGATAGTTGCGTGTACATATCGCGCGCGTAGATTGCGACGAGTTGCGTGCGTAGGCCGTAGGTCGTCGTAAGAACTCTCTCAGGTCGTCATATGACCTCTCCCCCCCCCCCCCCGTTAGTCGTCGCAGGACTTCCCCCTCCCCCCCCAGATCGTCGCAAGACCTAAAAATCCCCCCTCCCCCCCTCCCGTTAGTCGTCGCAGGACCTCTCCCCCCCTCCCCTGTGAGTCGTCGCAGGACCCAAAAATCCCCCCCCCCCCCCCTCTGTTAGTCGTCGCAGGACCTCTCCACCCTCCCCCCCTCCCCTGTGAGTCGTCGCAGGACCCAAAAATCCCCCCCCCCCCCCCCCTCTGTTAGTCGTCGCAGGACCTCTCCCCCCCTCCCCCCCTCCCGTTAGTCGTCGCAGGACCTCTCCCCCCCTCCCCTGTGAGTCGTCGCAGGACCCAAAAATCCCCCCCCCCCCCCCTCTGTTAGTCGTCGCAGGACCTCTCCCCCCCTCCCCCCCCCCCCCCCGTTAGTCGTCGCAGGACCCAAAAATCCCCCCCCCCCTCTGTTAGTCGTCGCAGGACCTCTCCCCCCCCCCCCCCCCCGTTAGTCGTCGCAGGACCCAAAAATCCCCCCCCCCCCTCTGTTAGTCGTCGCAGGACCCAAAAATCCCCCCCCCCCCTCTGTTAGTCGTCGCAGGACCTCTCCCCCCTCCCCTGTGAGTCGTCGCAGGACCTCTCCCCCCTCCCCTGTGAGTCGTCGCAGGACCTCTCCCCCCTCCCCCCCTCCCGTTAGTCGTCGCAGGACCTCTCCCCCCTCCCCTGTGAGTCGTCGCAGGACCTCTCCCCCCCCCCCCCCCCCGTTAGTCGTCGCACGACTTCCCCTTCCCCCCCCAGATCGTCGCAAGACCTAAAAATCCACCCTCCCCCCCTCCCGTTAGTCGTCGCAGGACCTCTCCCCCCTCCCCTGTGAGTCGTCGCAGGACCCAAAAATCCCCCCCCCCCCTCTGTTAGTCGTCGCAGGACCTCTCCACCCTCCCCCCCTCCCCTGTGAGTCGTCGCAGGACCCAAAAATCCCCCCCCCCCCTCTGTTAGTCGTCGCAGGACCCAAAAATCCCCCCCCCCCCTCTGTTAGTCGTCGCAGGACCTCTCCACCCTCCCCCCCTCCCCTGTGAGTCGTCGCAGGACCTCTCCCCCCTCCCCTGTGAGTCGTCGCAGGACCTCTCCCCCCTCCCCTGTGAGTCGTCGCAGGACCTCTCCCCCCTCCCCTGTGAGTCGTCGCAGGACCTCTCCCCCCCCCCCCCCCGTTAGTCGTCGCAGGACCTCTCCCCCCTCCCCTGTGAGTCGTCGCAGGACCCAAAAATCCCCCCCCCCCCTCTGTTAGTCGTCGCAGGACCCAAAAATCCCCCCCCCCCCTCTGTTAGTCGTCGCAGGACCTCTCCCCCCTCCCCTGTGAGTCGTCGCAGGACCTCTCCCCCCTCCCCTGTGAGTCGTCGCAGGACCCAAAAATCCCCCCCCCCCCTCTGTTAGTCGTCGCAGGACCCAAAAATCCCCCCCCCCCCTCTGTTAGTCGTCGCAGGACCTCTCCCCCCTCCCCTGTGAGTCGTCGCAGGACCTCTCCCCCCTCCCCTGTGAGTCGTCGCAGGACCCAAAAATCCCCCCCCCCCCTCTGTTAGTCGTCGCAGGACCCAAAAATCCCCCCCCCCCCTCTGTTAGTCGTCGCAGGACCTCTCCCCCCTCCCCTGTGAGTCGTCGCAGGACCCAAAAATCCCCCCCCCCCCTCTGTTAGTCGTCGCAGGACCCAAAAATCCCCCCCCCCCCTCTGTTAGTCGTCGCAGGACCCAAAAATCCCCCCCCCCCCTCTGTTAGTCGTCGCAGGACCCAAAAATCCCCCCCCCCCCTCTGTTAGTCGTCGCAGGACCCAAAAATCCCCCCCCCCCCTCTGTTAGTCGTCGCAGGACCCAAAAATCCCCCCCCCCCCTCTGTTAGTCGTCGCAGGACCCAAAAATCCCCCCCCCCCCTCTGTTAGTCGTCGCAGGACCCAAAAATCCCCCCCCCCCCTCTGTTAGTCGTCGCAGGACCCAAAAATCCCCCCCCCCCCTCTGTTAGTCGTCGCAGGACCCAAAAATCCCCCCCCCCCCTCTGTTAGTCGTCGCAGGACCCAAAAATCCCCCCCCCCCCTCTGTTAGTCGTCGCAGGACCTCTCCCCCCTCCCCTGTGAGTCGTCGCAGGACCTCTCCACCCTCCCCCCCTCCCCTGTGAGTCGTCGCAGGACCTCTCCCCCCTCCCCTGTGAGTCGTCGCAGGACCCAAAAATCCCCCCCCCCCCTCTGTTAGTCGTCGCAGGACCCAAAAATCCCCCCCCCCCCTCTGTTAGTCGTCGCAGGACCCAAAAATCCCCCCCCCCCCTCTGTTAGTCGTCGCAGGACCCAAAAATCCCCCCCCCCCCTCTGTTAGTCGTCGCAGGACCCAAAAATCCCCCCCCCCCCTCTGTTAGTCGTCGCAGGACCCAAAAATCCCCCCCCCCCCCCCGTTAGTCGTCGCAGGACCCAAAAATCCCCCCCCCCCCTCTGTTAGTCGTCGCAGGACCCAAAAATCCCCCCCCCCCCTCTGTTAGTCGTCGCAGGACCCAAAAATCCCCCCCCCCCCCCCGTTAGTCGTCGCAGGACCCAAAAATCCCCCCCCCCCCTCTGTTAGTCGTCGCAGGACCCAAAAATCCCCCCCCCCCCTCTGTTAGTCGTCGCAGGACCCAAAAATCCCCCCCCCCCCTCTGTTAGTCGTCGCAGGACCCAAAAATCCCCCCCCCCCCTCTGTTAGTCGTCGCAGGACCCAAAAATCCCCCCCCCCCCTCTGTTAGTCGTCGCAGGACCCAAAAATCCCCCCCCCCCCCCCGTTAGTCGTCGCAGGACCCAAAAATCCCCCCCCCCCCTCTGTTAGTCGTCGCAGGACCCAAAAATCCCCCCCCCCCCTCTGTTAGTCGTCGCAGGACCCAAAAATCCCCCCCCCCCCTCTGTTAGTCGTCGCAGGACCTCTCCCCCCTCCCCTGTGAGTCGTCGCAGGACCTCTCCCCCCCCCCCACTTCCCCACCCTTCTCTCTCTCTCTCTCTCTCTCTCTCTCTCTCTCTCTCTCTCTCTCTCTCTCTCTCTCTCTCTCTCTCTCTCTCTCTCTCTCTCTCTCTCTCTCTCTCTCTCTCTCTCTCTCTCTCTCTCTCTCTCTCTCTCTCTCTCTCTCTCTCTCTCTCTCTCTCTCTCTCTCTCTCTCTCTCTCTCTCTCTCTCTCTCTCTCTCTCTCTCTCTCTCTCTCTCTCTCTCTCTCTCTCTCTCTCTCTCTCTCTCTCTCTCTCTCTCTCTCTCTCTCTCTCTCTCTCTCTCTCTCTCTCTCTCTCTCTCTCTCTCTCTCTCTCTCTCTCTCTCTCTCTCTCTCTCTCTCTCTCTCTCTCTCTCTCTCTCTCTCTCTCTCTCTCTCTCTCTCTCTCTCTCTCTCTCTCTCTCTCTCTCTCTCTCTCTCTCTCTCAGAATAAGAAAAAGAAAAAAAAAGATGAAAAGGAAATAAAAAAGAAAAGAAGAAGAGAAAGGAGAAAAAGAAGAAGAAGAAGAAGAGAAAGCGAGAAGAAGAAGAAAAAAAAAAGAAGAGAAAGCGAGAAGAAGAAGAAGAAGAAGAGAAAGGACAAAAAGAAGAAAAAGGAGAAAAAAAATGAAAGATTTGCCGCCTCGTGTGCTCTCCATCAGAGAGAGTGTCAACTTTAACTGGGTATCGAGCTAGGGGGAAAAAAAGATGAAGATAATGATGAAGAAGAAGAAGAAGAGGCAAAGGATGAAGAAAAAGAAAACGAAAAGGAAGAAGGAGAGGAAAAGAATGAAGAAAAAGAAAAAGAAAACGAAACCGAGAAGAAGAAGGGGAGGAAAAGGATGAAGAAAACGAAAACGAGAAGAAGGAAAGGAAGAAGAAGAAGAGGAAAAAGGATGAAGGAAAAGAAAACGAAAACGAGAAGAAAAGAAAGAAGGGAAGGAAAAGGATGAAGAAAAAAACGAAAAAGAGAAGAAGAAAAAGAAGACAAAGAAGAAGAAAAGGAAGAAGAAGAGAGAATTGGTGTCCTTTCGTCGCGTTTAACCTCGTTTCGCCCTACAAGCGTGGTCGTTTATGCACCCTTTCTCCTTTCTCCTGCTTCCCCCTTCGTCTCCCTTTCCTTCTCCTTCTCCTCTTTTCCTTCTCCTTCTCTTTCTCTCCTACTACTTCTCTCCTTCCTTCTTTTCTTCTCCTTCTTCCTTCCTGTTCCTTCTCCCTTTCATTTTCGCCTCCCTTTCTCCCCTTCCCCTCCCCTCTCTCATCCCCCACCCCCCTCCGCCTCCCCTGAACGCGGCACCTATCAAGTGAATTTACTCAATTTGTCTACTTCGCCATCAAGCAACTCCCCCCCCAACCCCCCTCCCTCCCTCAAACTAACCCCCTCCCCCCCCGTGCCTTCCTTTTATCCCCATTTCCCCTCCCCCCCAATTCTTCTCTCCTCTCCCCCCCCCCCACTTCCCCACCCTTCTCTCTCTCTCTCTCTCTCTCTCTCTCTCTCTCTCTCTCTCTCTCTCTCTCTCTCTCTCTCTCTCTCTCTCTCTCTCTCTCTCTCTCATCACCCTCTCCTTCCCCCCCCCACCTTCCTCTCCCCAGAAGAAGAAGTAAAAAAAAAAAAGAAGGAAAAGATGAAGAAAAAGAAAAAGAAAAGAAGATGAAGAAAAAGAAAAGGAAAAAGAACAAAAAAAGAGAAGAAGAAGAAGAAGAAGAAGAAGAAGAAGAAGAAGAAGAAGAAGAAGAAGAAGAAGAAGAAGAAGAAGAAGAAGGAGGAGGAGAAGGAGAAGAAGGAGAAATATTCGGAGGGCGATGGAACGCAAATTACCCGCGCCGCCCGTGATGTCTTGTGAGCTATCTCTGAGAGGGAAATGATTTATTTAGATCTTCGGTTTGTCTTGTCTTCCTTAGCGGTGAGGCGAGTTGGGGCCGTCTTTTATTATTGGAATTATTATTCGTTTGGTTCTCTTTCTCTCTTTCGCTTGTTCTTTCTCTTTCTCTTTCTCTCGTTCTCTCGTTCTCATATTCACTCTCACTCACTCACTCACTCACTCTCAAACACACAAACACTCAGTCTCACTCATTCACTCTCTCAACCACACACTCACCCTCACTCACTCGCACTCTCGCTCTCACTCGGTTTTCTCCCTCTCACTCTCACTCTCTCTCTCGCTCTCTCTTTCTCTCTCTCTCTCTCCTTCCCATCAAACCCGAGTCTCTCTCTTCTCAAATGCAAGATGACGATTTACTCAGGATGACACTCTAGCCCGTGACGTTTAAACCATCAGGGTAATGCTTGGGTAAATAAAGCAAGTGTGTTTTAAATAATTTATTGAAGGGGGGCCCCAAGCTCACGAGGATCAATAATGAATGTTGGGGAAAGAGCGGGACAGATGGCAGCACGGTCCGGGGGCGCAGCCACACTAGCGCCGTCTCTGCAGTGACGACCGACGCGCCAACTTCGCACAGAGAGAGAGACCTACAAAGCCAGGAAATACCAACCTCTTTACCCTCTCCACTCTCTCTCTCTCTCTCTCTCCCTCTCTCTCTCTCCCCGCACGAAAAAAAATAATGCTCGTGCCGACGGTCTCGATGTTGGAATAAAACCTCCGGACGCATTTGGCAGCTAATAATGATGTTTATTATGAGGGACTGGGAAGCAACCACAGTCCAGGGGCTCTCTCGCATTTCCATCTCCGTAACCAGATCCATGAACGAATTCGACGCCATAAAGGGGAACAGTCACTGGGCGCGATCTTTATTCCGGCTAGACTGATTTGGTCCACTGGAAAGCTCTCCGGGATCAAAATATTACCCTTGTTATGCAATTCACACGGACAAACTTCATGTGTTGTTGTTTTTGTTTTTGTTTTTGTTTTTTTTTTGTCTTCTACCATTGCTATTGATGTTATTTGTATTTATATTTCAGATGGCGTTTGCTTTTACAGTTTAAAAAAAAGAGGATTTTTGTTTCAGCAAGGAATGGTAATGGATGAACAAGGGAATGTGCTAACATCTTGTTCATGGTGCTTTGGCCATCATCTGCTGCTGAAAATTATTAGAATAAACATGACCGCTGTATGTGTTTTGCAATTGTGTTATCTTAGGAATATGTCCTCTTCAGTCTCCCTCCTTCCTTCCCTCCCTCCCTCTCTCCCTCCCTCCCTCTCCCTCCATCCCTCCCACCCTCTCTTTCTCTCTTCCTCTCTTCTATTGTTTTAAATAATTTATTGAAGGGGGGCCCCAAGCTCACGAGGATCAATAATGAATGTTGGGGAAAGAGCGGGACAGATGGCAGCACGGTCCGGGGGCGCAGCCACACTAGCGCCGTCTCTGCAGTGACGACCGACGCGCCAACTTCGCACAGAGAGAGAGACCTACAAAGCCAGGAAATACCAACCTCTTTACCCTCTCCGCTCTCTCTCTCTCTCTCTCTCTCCCTCTCTCTCTCTCCCCGCACGAAAAAAAATAATGCTCGTGCCGACGGTCTCGATGTTGGAATAAAACCTCCGGACGCATTTGGCAGCTAATAATGATGTTTATTATGAGGGACTGGGAAGCAACCACAGTCCAGGGGCTCTCTCGCATTTCCATCTCCGTAACCAGATCCATGAACGAATTCGACGCCATAAAGGGGAACAGTCACTGGGCGCGATCTTTATTCCGGCTAGACTGATTTGGTCCACTGGAAAGCTCTCCGGGATCAAAATATTACCCTTGTTATGCAATTCACACGGACAAACTTCATGTGTTGTTGTTTTTGTTTTTGTTTTTGTTTTTTTGTCTTCTACCATTGCTATTGATGTTATTTGTATTTATATTTCAGATGGCGTTTGCTTTTACAGTTTAAAAAAAAGAGGATTTTTGTTTCAGCAAGGAATGGTAATGGATGAACAAGGGAATGTGCTAACATCTTGTTCATGGTGCTTTGGCCATCATCTGCTGCTGAAAATTATTAGAATAAACATGACCGCTGTATGTGTTTTGCAATTGTGTTATCTTAGGAATATGTCCTCTTCAGTCTCCCTCCTTCCTTCCCTCCCTCCCTCTCTCCCTCCCTCCCTCTCCCTCCATCCCTCCCACCCTCTCTTTCTCTCTTCCTCTCTTCTATTGTCCCCCCCTCCTCCCCTTCCCCGTCCCAGCCTCCTTCTCTCCGTCCCTCCTCCCTTCCTTCTTGCCCTCTAACCAAGTGCGGCGCCCCGGCATGCCTTCGCTCGCCCAGGTTCTAATGTTTCCTTCTGTATTGCAGGTGTCACACAGGACTCGAGTAGTGCCAATATAGCGTGCACGAAGTAACAGTTAAACGTTGGTGGAGCTGCCGTATCATCTTCACACTACGGATCTACGTGGTGGTGGAGGCAGCCTTGAATGCACTCGGGTCATATTGGGTCAGGAGGTCAGAGGTTTTATCTCTTTCTTGAAAAGAGATGATCCAGTTTGGGGATGAGAGAGAGTTTGAGATAGAGAAACGGAGGAAAGAAAATATACAGTAAAGAAAAAAGGTTACCCTAGTCAGGCTCACTTCTTCAGGGTAAATCAATAGAAAAACACAAAGAAACGAGAGAGAAAAAAAACGATAGTAAATTGGAGCAGATAAAGGCATAAGAAAAGGCAAACCAGGCTCGAAGATCAGGTCACGCCATTATCACAGGATCACCACGTCAGACATGCTAGGGAAGTGGGCGTCTGCGTCGAGACCGAAGACTCGCCACGCCCACGACTCCGCGCACATACGACCCCAAAGGTTTCAAGGCAGCCGAAGTTCCCAGATGAAAACAACAACAACCACTGACCTATGACCTCCATTCTTGACCTGATTTGACCGCAGAGTGGCGCAAAAATGCAATCAAAATAGCGCAAGATAGGAAGGCTGCATAGCTGGACTAAGAAGTGTTCGATATACTGTACATGTGATATCCCCTAATCTATATAGTGGAAGAATGACCTCAATTAGAAAATAATTGTTTTCTCAGATAGGAAATGTCTAAATTTGTTTTTTATAATAAACCAATTGGTTGTTAAATCAGTGTGGTGATAGTGAATGCCGCTGAGATGATGCGTGCGTTGGGATGAGCCCCTCTGGGACCCCGAGCAGTCCTCGAACGCCCGCTCCTCTCCTGCAGAAGGAGGACCTGGGGAAGGGAGGGCTGCCGCCGGACTCAGAGCGGCTCACCTCGTGACGCGGTTCCCAAGAAGTGGTTCAAGTTTATCCGCTACCTAACCCCTTCTCTAGACGGACTTGCAAATGTTTGATAACCCTAAGGTCCCCATCGTGCCAGGGAGGTCACTTCCCCTCTGTTGATCCCCCCTTCCGGTAACCCTTCTCCAGCCGAGTCCAGCGCCCCTGGGCCGCGGCGGCGCTCGAGGAGGGCTTCAAGGTATACACGCTCTCTGGCATATTCTCCTTCCGTCTCAACTTTATCCTGCCGCTTCCAAAGAACACAAGGTATCTGCAAGCGGTCCTTGGAATCCATATCTTACAGCTCTGGTTCTCGGGTGGCCCACCAGCTTCATGGGGTGTCACAGGGCGCCCCGGGGTCCTCTCCGGACGGACGGGCGACCCGGTCGAGTCCTCCTGAAGCTGGTGAGCCGCCCTTATTTCAGATCCCATCGTAGGAGCATTCTATGGTAGTGGACCCCACGTATGACTCCCCCCAACTGCCCCGAAGCACCACCACTGTTGTTGATTTTTTTCCTTTCGATCTTATTCCTGATCTGCCATTTTTCTGGTGTTTGTATTTTGAGCCCTCACTCCCCTGGACTCTTCCTCGACCACGCCTTCCCCAGCCCCACACTTTGAACGACTACTACCACCTCCTCTTGGCCTCTTCTGCCGCAGTAGTTCTAACCCTCGAAGTATTATAACCAACTCTTTGGAACTACCTTCCTCCCTCTCCTCCCCCCCTCCGCCTCACCCCACCCCTCCCCTCCCCCTTCTCCCCCCCTTCCTCTTCGCCAGATGCCAAAGTGTTTGCAAGGACCTCCAGTAGTAGCAGTATTTCCCCCGTGTGGGCAGATGGGGGGGGCAGCTACGGGTGATAGGAGTGAAAACCTTTTGGGTAACTTTTCTTCATATGATCCCCTACCTAATGTCATTCCAACTCCTACATGAATTAGAACTTTCCCAGGTTGAACAGCAATAAGGCATAACAGTTTATCAATACCATTGTAACTTTAGGATTTGTTTTTTGTTCACTTTGCATAATAACAGTTTCGAATATTAGCTCTTTACGATGCATTTCATAATATATTGTTGTTCAACTGTTCCCCAATATACATTCTCCTGTGTTAGTAAGTCAAGTGTGGGTACGATGTTCGAAGACCGTTGCTGGTGATAAAAGGTGCATCATTGCACTGCTGATATTGAGTGATATAAGGCCGAGGGGTTCCCCAGGAGTTCCTATGGGGTTCCCTAGGAGTCCGAAGTGTTCCCCAGGAGTTCCTATGGGGTTCCCTAGGAGTCCGAAGTGTTCCCCAGGAGTTCGTGAAGGAGTCTCCGGGGTCCCCTAGGGGTTAGTCTTCCCCTTCTGTGACCACTGCTACCACCTGCTTCCACAACCCACAACCATCGCCAAATCCAATGCCCGCTGCGCAGCCACCCAGTAGAAGAACAAAAAAATGATAATGATGATAATAATAATAATAATAATAATAATAATAATAATAATAATAATAATAAAAACTTGTGCGCAAACGGACGGGGAGGAACAACAAATAAATGAGCAACGAATGATGCAGCTGCCGTGATCAGACTCCGTTTAGTTACGTCAAGCAAGTGGTGATGTTTGTGCCTGAAGCAAATTATACTGAAGCTTTACAAAGAATGTATATATTCGTTATTCTAGTGATTCATTAGTTACTACTAAGAACAATGGCCTGACTGAAGGAGGGAGGAAGGGACGTTAAAGAAAGCAGCTGGCGCGACAATTTTTTTTCTCTCTCTCATTTTTTTCTTTTTTTTTTCTTTTTTTTCTTTTTGCATTCTGGAAGTAGTAGTGAAAATGGTGGCAGTAATATGTGCTGGAAAACCTCAGCTGTGAGACACCGCGTGCGCTAGAGCTGACAGTATGCTCCTCAACATGCTATGCGGGAATTTGTTTTCAAACCGTCTTATTCAAACCTGAACTTCATAACTATAAGATAATAAACCAGCACTGTTCTAAGTGCTGGATAATCCTCGGGTTGTTTCTTTTTGCCACATTTATTGGATGGTTTGAGATACCAATTCGGTGAGGTTGGTACCCCTGTGCGTGAAAATGGCGCAGAATAAAAATATATATATATTATTAAAAAAAACACATAAGAACTGAAGAAAACAAACAAAAAGTAATGTCAAATCAAAGAAGTCACAATCCTCAAGTATCTTTGTGAGAATGAGATGCCAATATTTCCACAAGACATCGTGAGGTAACCAAGTACTCAAGCCCGGGTCATGAAGATGATTCCTGGCAGTACATTATAACGGGGAAGACTGAAGACACGTGAACACGAGGCGATCAGTGGTGATAGGTTTACGATGGACGTCCAGATACGAAACAGGATGGCTTAGTGAAAAAAAGGCTATGAACTTATATAAATAAATATATATATATATATACAATAACGTTGCAATGCTTCAGGGTCTATAAGGCAGGAGAGTGCAAAATGGAAAATAAAACGAAGGAAGTGTTATGTACGTTACGAAGAAAAGTGGAAAGCGAAGCATGGAGGAATTACATAGAGTTATATATGTATAGATAAAGTATATAACTTGTCAAGAAAGGTAAATTGTCAAGACTGATCAGGAAAACGATAGCAGAGATATGGATACACGAAAAGTATAGAAAATAAAGGGGCAGATAAAAGGAAATAAACAAACAAAAAAAGTAATATGTATAAAACAAAGAAAATGCAGAGCAAGAAAACATTCATTGGCAAGTCCCACACACACGAAAAATAATGCTAATAAACCAAAAAAAATATATAATGAAATAAACATTTACCAGAGTAGCAGAAATGGGTGTAGTTTCCGTCAAAGGCACAAGTCACAGAGAGCCTCATCCCCTCTCCGATATAAGATGTGCCGCCCTATCACTCAGGGAGGATGCTACTATCATTACAAAAAAAAATACTTAAAAAAAACATCGGATTTTTAAATTTCAGGAGGTTCCCTTTTTTTGGAAATTGTTCTCAAGGCGCCCCCTCGCCCCACTTCCCTCTCTCCCCTTCTCTCTCTAGCCTTGGGGACTTGACCTCTTGAGATAGCTGAAATTGGTGAAGATTTGACCCTAAAGCCCCTTCAGTGCTTCGTAAGAACTCTCGGAGATTATGTCAGGTTTCTTTTTCGAAAGTAGACATTTTTAACCCTTTGGGACGAAGAAGCTTTGTAAGAATCCAACCTTGTGTAATTCAAACAATTTTCAATCTTTGACGGTACTTCCTACCAATGTAAGCTTGGCATTTTCTTTTCTTTTTCTCCGATTTTGGATAGAAAACTTGATATTAGTGAGTGGGAAAAATACCTCTGCTTGGTTTATCAATAACATGCTCTAGAAACTAGCCTATCGTAAAAATAAACCCAAGTATATAATCTTCCAGTGTTCTTACGTTGACAAGGCATAACCCCTAAGCCCATCTTTTGCGCACTGTCCGAGCGCAGGATGCTTATGGAGGGCCACTGACGCAGGCAGCTGGAATGGACGCCGTAAGGAATCGAGTAAGACTAGCAGAAGCTTTGAATCTACAGTAAAGAGGAAAACAGACCAGTAGTGAAATTAAAATACAAGTGAAAAAAATATGAAATAATAACAATAATAATAATGTTCAAGTATTTAGCTTGTCAGACTTAAATGATATTTAAAGTACACATAATTAAAACTGCCCATTCATCACTTAACCTGCATAGACAATTCAGGAGGTATCAGCTACCGAGGTGTACGAAATATAAAAAAAGACACGTTTTGTGTTCATATCACAACCTTTCACCCCTTTGCCTTTGCATCGTTTATAGCCATATTTCCTAAGTGATGATGTTGGATTGTCTAAACATATCGTTCATTCAAAATATGAAGCCTTGTCCTTTGTGTGAATCATCCTCACTTATTACATTTTGAAGTTTGTGTCCTCTTTCATCATTCTTCTTTGTGCTGCTTCTTCTTCAGTCATAACTTCAGCCAGACATCTACAGTGTAAATAATAATGGTTTAAGTAAGTGGATGACTGTACCCGGTGCTAAATTTCCTTTACAGTCAAGGAAGAGGAAATAAATACAAAAAATATGATGATGAGTAAAAAAAAAAAAAAAAAAAAAAAAATATTGCAAAAAAAATATGAGGTTTAGGTCACTTGTGTCCCATGTTATCTGCAGGTACTGTAGTGCAAGACAGAAATTCAGCCTAGGTCATCCAAGCGAAATGTTAGATCAGGTCAGGCAAATTTGTAGAGCAAATCTTAGAAAACTTGTATGTATAGCTAGGAATGGAGAAAAAAAAAACACACAAGAAACGGAAGAAAAATACATGCTAAAGAGAAGACGGAAGCCAAGGAGATCGGTTATTCCAAAAGTGTTGTGTATTCATTGCTGGATAAGGGTGAGACTCGGGCAAGACAGGCACTTGAGGTTTTAAATGATTTTCTTAAATTATAACTGACTACCTCCCTCTGTATTGTACATGTAAGACAGTAGAAACTACAGCTAGTTATCTTCACTTGCCAAGCTCATACTAGTGTACAGGTGACAAGAAAAATATTGATAACACGAAATGAAATAGACCATTAGAAAACAAATGTAAAACATCCACAAATCTTCCTCCACTCTGCTTCAGCCAAATTGAGGAAAAAAAAACTGTGAACTATCATCACAGACATGCTAGAAAAGTTTATGAGAAAAGTCATGTAGGAAGAAAGATTATGGAGAAGGACTGCATAGGACCTAGGCAAATATCGCAAATATCTCCCCGACTAGTTTGTAGGTGATGGTTATCATGCCTATGAATAAGAGTCTAGTTTAGAGAGATAGAATACCAAGTGAGTAATTACCCAAATTGATCAGCATTATGATAATTTAAATAGGATGATGAAATTTGTGACAGTTCGCCTCTCCAAGATCTGATAAAGTGCATTGCTTCATTATAATTGAAGAAATGCAGTCATGTTTTTATATGTTTCTTTCTAAAGGCCTGTATATATTCTGTAAATAATTGACTGATTGTTTGTTTTACATTAAGCCTGTTTATTGTTGACGGTTTGAGAATCTTAGATAATTATTTTCTCTTGTTGCTGCATGAGAACTTTGAACAACTCTTAACCCATCAGGTTTTGTAGGTGTGGCCTCTTCCTCGTACTGCTTGTGATTGGCTTACTGGGAGAGGGCCCCACCAATCAGAACTTAGAGTGGGCTGCCCGTCCCAAGGTGTCCAAATGCAGTCTCAAGTTTCCTAATCAACTCTCCCCTTCTTGAGCACTATGAAGTAGGCACCAGCAAGAGGGGCGGGCAACCCAACCATTTGCTTCATACTTTATCTAGGAAGAACCTCTAGAGCATTATTTGCTTGCTAGATTACAAAAAATATTGGAATAAATGACCACTAAACATTTCAGACGGCCGTAGTTCCTCAAAATGCTGTAACCTCTTCAGCTATTTATGACTCAGCTTAATCTAGAGAGACAATGTAGTTGATCCAAGACTGGGGTAGTTCACTGTGGAGTGATCAGTTATTTTGATCCTCAGATGGTATTTCAATAAGGCTAATTTTCTGTGTTGTGAATATGAAAATCAGCTTTATAGGAGTGCCATGCAAGGCTCAAAGTCGCTGCTCAGGTCACAAATCTTGTTGGTAGATTCTTCTGTTGCATCATACATCAAACCAGTTTTTGGTACTTTGTCTTGATATGTGACGAGATCAGTCATTATGAGCCTTAAGTGGGATCTCCAATAGGGTTCATTTTCCTAAACGACAACACACGAGAAGGTGATCCTTTTGCGAAAGTGCCGCCTGATGCTCCATAACGCAGGTCGCGTCACTAAAGTGCAGCGGTAAAACTTCTTCACTTGAGTCTTTCTCTCCATTGTCTCTTTACATAATAAGGTGCCATGTACTCCCAAGTTTATCTTACTGGCTCCCTCTTCCCCCCCCCTCTTTATTATATTGTATCTATGTTACTTTGCTTCAAACAGTTTTCTTTGTCCACTCAAGGAAAGAAAATATTGTTAGCAAACTGCAGCTACCAATGACTATGCCAACTCTTTCCATTCTTTTCAGAATTATTCGTAGTGGTATAGGGTTTCAAATTATTGAGACTTTCTCCATTTAACTTTATGATGACTGCCTGTTAATGTATATAATACAAATAAAAGTTGTTGGTTAAATAATGTAACAACAATTCATCGTCATCCATTCCAAATCAAAATGAAGGCAGATGAGCTGTAATTAAGAGATACTAGGCAACCTAATTCCAGGTATTATTGATTAGGCTCTCCCTTTCCATATTTATCCCTCCTACCCCTCAATTACCTGAGGGACGGGAGAGAGACAGCGGCAACCCACACGCATACCTGGGGCACGAGTTTCGGATTGTAGTGAAGAGAAACTCGTCCCCACAAGAAAATGGAAGGGGGTTCCTTGTGCTGTCTGTCTGTCTCCCGGCCCTCGTATCTGCTTCAGAATCAGAGACATCAATGGGTTCCCAGAGTCGCAAAAAATGGAAAAAAAGAAAAAAAGTTTCAAGGGGAAGACAGGAAGCAAATGGGGCACCACTTTGGTTCTGATGCTTCCTGCTTTCTCCTCCCACTGATTGTGTACCAACCATTGCATGTCTCTGTATTAATATGGTAAATAAGAGAACCTCACCTGTTATGGATATTTAATTTTAGCATGTTTCTTTATATGGAATCACCTCTTTATAATAGCATATATAAGGAATTGAGGTATTTAAATTCATTAAAAAATAAATAATAATAATAATACATTAAACATTTAGGTCAAACATTCTGCTAAAAAAATCACCTGGGAATTGATCGTTTATTAAATCAAGTCAATATTTATAGGGTTTTTACTGAAATTTGTTCCATTTTGTTCATTTTCTTGGGGCACATTACTGGACCATTGTGCTTCAATTGCTTTCATGTTTGTATCCACTAGAGCATGAGGGCCGCGTGCAACTTTTCTTGCTGCTGCAACATCCATCAAGGCTGAATTTCTGGCATTTTTTATTTTTCTTTTCATATTTTTTTCTTTTTTTTTTTTATTGTCTCTCCGAGCGTAGAATATCAACCTTAATTCAGGATCGCGGCTTGAACGGCGCTGGCCCTAACGCTTTATCAATAATCAGTGGCATATTCAGGTGTTTGAGGTTTATTATTTTGGATGGCTTTAAAGCATTCTATTAGTTGTAATCATAAAGACACAAGTTAATAAACATGCAGATTGACTCATTATTTGTGGGAGGGAACTTAAATATTAAATATAATAATAAAAAAAAAGTTAAATTCCAAGCAAAATTGACCATAACAAAAACGACCCTAAAATGGTTTTTAAATTTCCATTGATCTACTTCAAATTCCACGTAATAATATGCCAGGATTTGCCACTCAAGAGATAAAGACAACACAAACAGTAAATATAATAAAAAAAAAAATATATGAATTAATACGAATATCTTAAGCGCATCCCATTCAGCCATTTCAGCCATTAAACCTGTGCCTTCTATCCAAAGCTTCCACGGAGCGATTCAGCGGCCGGGCTCTCAGACGGCACCCGAGAGAAAGCAAAACGTTCAGCAATCAGTCGTCGCGATTCTTTCTTCACACTGTAATATCCAAATCAGCTTACAGATCTTGACCGCTCAAGCCCTTTTGCCGTCTCCTGGGTGGGGTCTGAGGGGTTCTGGCCGCGAGCCTTGTTCAACATGTCCATGAACACATTTTTAGCCTTCAGGAATCTACAGCTTATTAAACAATATGCATGCAAAAAGTAAAAAAATAATATAATAATAATAATAAACTTAAACCTCATTAAACATTTAGGTCAAACATTCTGCTAAAAAAATCACCTGGGAATTGATCGTTTATTAAATCAAGTCAATATTTATAGGGTTTTTACTGAAATTTGTTCCATTTTGTTCATTTTCTTGGGGCACATTACTGGACCATTGTGCTTCAATTGCTTTCATGTTTGTATCCACTAGAGCATGAGGGCCGCGTGCAACTTTTCTTGCTGCTGCAACATCCATCAAGGCTGAATTTCTGGCATTTTTTATTTTTCTTTTCTTTTTTTTTTCTTTTTTTTTTTATTGTCTCTCCGAGCGTAGAATATCAACCTTAATTCAGGATCGCGGCTTGAACGGCGCTGGCCCTAACGCTTTATCAATAATCAGTGGCATATTCAGGTGTTTGAGGTTTATTATTTTGGATGGCTTTAAAGCATTCTATTAGTTGTAATCATAAAGACACAAGTTAATAAACATGCAGATTGACTCATTATTTGTGGGAGGGAACTTAAATATTAAATATAATAATAAAAAAAAGTTAAATTCCAAGCAAAATTGACCATAACAAAAACGACCCTAAAATGGTTTTTAAATTTCCATTGATCTACTTCAAATTCCACGTAATAATATGCCAGGATTTGCCACTCAAGAGATAAAGACAACACAAACAGTAAATATAATAAAAAAAAAAATATATGAATTAATACGAATATCTTAAGCGCATCCCATTCAGCCATTTCAGCCATTAAACCTGTGCCTTCTATCCAAAGCTTCCACGGAGCGATTCAGCGGCCGGGCTCTCAGACGGCACCCGAGAGAAAGCAAAACGTTCAGCAATCAGTCGTCGCGATTCTTTCTTCACACTGTAATATCCAAATCAGCTTACAGATCTTGACCGCTCAAGCCCTTTTGCCGTCTCCTGGGTGGGGTCTGAGGGGTTCTGGCCGCGAGCCTTGTTCAACATGTCCATGAACACATTTTTAGCCTTCAGGAATCTACAGCTTATTAAACAATATGCATGCAAAAAGTAAAAAAAGTTAATAAAATATTTTAGAAAATACCCCCCTCAAAAAAACCCTTAAAAAAAATAAAAAGAAAAGAAAAAGAACAAAAAAAAAAAATAATAATAATAATAAATAATCAAATCCATCAAAGGAGCCTCTATATGGGCCAAGACTTTCTCTTTGGACATGTTGAACCTGGCCCTGACTTTCGTCAACGTTCCACTAACCCTGTGTGATGGGAGAGCAGAGCTGCAACTCTATAGGTGACGAGGTATGCGAGAGTACAAGCCTGGGTTGCCGTGTCAGGGGCTTGCATTGCCTGCGACTGGGGTGAATGCCTGTGCCTGATGCGTTCCCCGGGCTTAAACATCATTCATCCCCGTCACGTCATTTGTTTTGCTAGATTAAATATGGCTGTTAAGTCTATGTTTACAGTCTTTGCCTTCAGGTTATAAGATTTTCAGGTGACGTTCTCTGTATTGAAGAAAAGTACTAGGTATTTAACATTTCTTCCTTGCTATTAAGGTCCATTGTTGTATAAGATTATGAAAAGATTTGGACCTTGGTAGCTGCAGGATGGACTGGATTCATTGAATCCCCTCATTATTTTGATCTTGTATCAAAGTGTGTGCTTTTTCATGCCAATAAACTAAGAAACCAGTTAAGATTTTGTTTATATAAGCATCCTGGATGATAAAACAAAAATCAACTCAAGCTGATGATACAATTCAATCCTTTATTATATTCATGTGTGATTTAGACACATCTTTACAGGTTGAAAGAATCAGTATAAATTTCTTTGTCTACAATCAGTGTCAAAAAGAGACAGAACAGGAAGCAAGGAAAATTTTGTACAAAAATGACAACTTGACTTCTGTGTTTCAGAAAATGGCCAAAATTAAAAGGTTATTTGGTTTAGAACATTTTTGCTCTAGGCAACATTAATTTTAACAATTATACATATATATATACACTATCCTTTGTGATCAGCAAGATGAAGCAGTCATGTTTGTTCCTTAAAAGCAGATATAGAGATCATTTCTGTGATTAGTATTTCTATTTCTAATCTATGATAAAAATTAATCCTATCTCTGAATAGAGAAAAGAGAAAAATCAAGCATCAAAATAGGACAGTAAAACAGATGGATGTCTAAGGTAATCATCATCTGTAATCCACAAATTTTAAAAAGAAAGAAAGAAAGAAAAAGAAAAAAATTACTTTCTCCTCATTGTTCTCAGGGAAAACCACAAATCAGTCACTCACGAACACACATTCATACTGCCACTCTTTACAAGTCATAAAATAAAGTATTGAAGAAGACACGGTAAAATACAAGCTATATACACCTTAGAATCATTCTCTACCTATTTGTTCTTTGATGAAATATACTGTTAAACACTCTACTTTAATCTAAAAGTATAAATAAAATGCTCCCATAACCCTTGGCAGAAAGTTATTGAATTATCTAAAAAGTTTTTTGGGCTCTGAAAAAATATAAATAGTAAGCATTCTCAATCTATCTGTTAAATCTACAGAAACACTGAATTTCTTCATCCAGTGAAAGCTAACATCATTTTCATTGCAAATGGCTTCAATGCTACCATACCTACTAAGCCTAAACAAAGTATGTATAGAAGCATTTACCATAAACAGTGGAGAAACACTACACATGTAGAGTTAAAAAAAAGAAAAGGTAAAAATAATCAAGATTTAAGACATCTCTCTTAAACAAACCATATTACCTTCCGCACAAACTCAATCAGACAGTGTTTCATAATTAAGAAGAGAACTAACAACAGCGATAACCCACACACACACGATCCTCAACACGCACAGACTTATTTCCTGATCTGCTTCGTTGCCGTTCCGATGTGGCACTGGTTGACCTTGGTTGCAAAGCGGAGGGAGTTCAAGGTCTCACTGAAGCACATCTCCAAGGGGGACACGTTGACGAACATGAGTGTCTTGGAGTTGCCCCCGAGAGAGTTTTGTAGGAGGTGCGTCAGTTTGGAATTGCGGTAGGGAATGTGATTTTGCTGCAAGTGGGGAAAAGATTTTTAGAATATATGACAAATATTCATTGCAGTAACATGGTCATATTAATATTTCTACACCTATTAAATTCACAAATTGAATTTCTCTCTACACTGGGAAGGTAATACATTTTATATTGGTCTAATTTAAATAGTGAGCAAATAGTGGGTTAATTTTAAACACTAGAAGTACAGAATAATGGATGGGGAACACACAAAGACAGTAATATTTTATAAATATTTTTACTGTTCCTTAGTATGATGCCACAAAATAATAGTTTTTAATGTTTGGTGCCGACTGTGACAAAGGATGCAGTCCCTCATCCATTACTCTCTCCAAGCTATACACATCTATTTACTTTAAAATAGTTTTCATGTGATAACTATACAATAGCTAACAAAGTCCTATGACCATTATAGATAATAGATCATCAACCCCCCAAAAGATTGCATGAGCTTGGCAAAATGTCATCAAGCAGCAGCTCTCCTCATCCTTCCACAGAGCGCCTATGTTTTCATTTTCATCCCCCAATTCCATTAGCTTTCCCCAGTTTAAGATGAAATGACTTACCTTCTGACCCAGAGCCATGATGACATTGCCAAGATTGGACAGAGATTTGTTGATGTTCTGTGTTTCTGTTAGTCTTGCTCCTTCTGAGCCTGACTCCTTCAGTCTCTCTGATCCAGCCAGGTCAACCAGATTCAAGTTACCTGTGAAATAATATTGCAACACATCAGATGCAAAGCAATCTAAGAAAATAACATTCTGGTATTTGGTTGGTACTGGTACTCCCTGACTGCTTGATATGCCAAGTACATTATTTAGTATCTCAAACACAAAAGGAATTCCAGAACTTTTTGCTTCTTGCTACACAAAGTTAGCAGTTTGGTACTGTTATAATTTTTTAACTAAAGCTATAACTAATAATAAAAGGTGTTTATACTAAGAAAGTACCAAGATACAAATCTACAAAAAATATACAACCAGCTTAAACTATCACTGTGGTCTGCAAACAATATTTACTCCACTCACTCCTATGAGATGGTCCAGTTAAATGGATCAATAATTATACCTTAGTTTCCCAGTTGCAGATATCACTTACCTTCACAAGACTCCAGTGTTTTGCTATTGTGTCCTGTGAGTTTAAGCCGGAAGACTGAGTGTGAACGTGAAGATCTCTCATTCATGTTGGTGGCTGCTACAGCTCTCTGCTGCTGCGCCAGAGTCAAAAGGTGGTGGACACGGCCCTCATTCTCTACTTCAACCACCTGCAAAAAAACAAAGCCATGAATACTAGATACTGATTAACAAAAGCTGTTAATAATAAGAATTTATAAGGCTCCAGCAACTAAACAAAAGGAAAAAAATTCACACTGCTGAACTCTATGTTAAATACCTTATCATACAACTGGAATGCACTGACAGTTGCATAAATAAAGGCAGAGGTTTTAAAGTTGAATGAATAAAACTACTTGATCAGGATCTTATTTTACAAACAAGGTCAATGGTTCTGAACTGGAATTGAATTGCTATTAAATTCTGTTAAAGATCAGTCAAATGGTATTTGATTGACAAATAAAGAATGCAGCTATACTGCATACTGAATTACACAACAACAAATAAGATACAATATGCTATTTGTAGGTCAGTTGTGGGTCAACACGATTTAATACTTCACCAATTACACAATATAGAAATGACCTCACCATGAAATACCTCACATAATGCAATATTAATCTCTTTAAGCCATACCACAATAAAAACAAAAAAACAAATCAAAACAAAATTTTTTAAAATCATGTAAGAGCCCCTACCTTCAGATTGGTCACAAAGGAATCATTTTTCTTGCTGTCGACAAGCTTCACGTCGTAAGTGAGATTCTTGGCTTCCTTGGGAGTGGCCAGAAGATCTCTTATGGTTTCATTGTAGATTTCTAAAAAGCTGGCCTCTACCTTGTAGGTCCAGCCCTGTAAGTGAAAAGAGCTTGAGTATCTCTAAGGTAAAGTGATCTACAGATGACACCTATTAATACATCCATGACATTCTAAAATGCTCAGGGTAAAGCCATTCTCAACAAGCAAAATAAACACTGCTATCCATTTTATTTTCCCTACTACAATCTCAATTTTCTAATACACACAATCACTCTCAACCAAGGGAAAGTGAAGGTCAAATCATTCAAGACGACTTTTCAAATTGCTGTACTCGATCAAACGACAATGGAAATAATTCAAGGTTGCATTCTTATCACATCTGGAGGGGGGACAAAGAGGGAAAGGAAGAGGAGGAAGAGGAAGAGGAGATAGAGGAAGAGGAAGAGGAGATAGAGGAGAGGAAGAGGAAGAGGAGATAGAGGAGGAGGATCAAGGAGGAGGAGGAGGAAGAGGAGGAAGAAGGACGTGGGCAGAGGAAGAGGAGGTGGTGGAATGAGAAACAGGAGGTGGGAGGAGGAAGGAGAGGTGAAGGAGGAAGGAGGGGAAGGACGGGAAGGAGGAGGAGGGGAAGGAGGGGAAGGAGGAGGAGGGGAAGGAGGGGAAGGAGGGGGAGGAGGAGGAGGAGGAGGAGGAGGAGGAGGAGGAGGAGGAGGAGGAGGAGGAGGAGGAGGAGGAGGAGAGAGGAGGAGGAGGAAGAAGAGGAGGAGGAGGAAGAAGAGGAGGAGGAGGAAGAAGAGGAGGAGGAGGAAGAAGAGGAGGAGGAGGAAGAAGAGGAGGAGGAGGAAGAAGAGGAGGAGGAGGAAGAAGAGGAGGAGGAGGAAGAAGAGGAGGAGGAGGAAGAAGAGGAGGAGGAGGAAGAAGAGGAGGAGGAGGAAGAAGAGGAGGATGAAGAAGAAGAGGAGGATGAAGAAGAAGAGGAGGAGGATGAAGAAGAGGAGGAGGATGAAGAAGAGGAAGAAGAAGAGGAGGAGGAGGAGGAGGAGGAGGAAGAAGAGGAGGAGGAGGAGGAAGAAGAGAGGAGGAGGAGGAAGAAGAGGAGGAGGAGGAGGAGGAGGAAGAAGAGGAGGAGGAGGAGGAGGAAGAAGAGGAGGAGGAGGAGGAAGAAGAGGAGGAGGAGGAGGAGGAAGAAGAGGAGGAGGAGGAGGAGGAGGAGGAGGAGGAGGAGGAGGAGGAAGAGGAGGAGGAGGAGGAGGAGGAGGAGGAGGAGGAAGAGGAAGAGGAGGAGGAGGAGGAGGAGGAGGAGGAGGAGGAGGAGGAGGAGGAAGAAGAAGAGAGAGGAGGAGGAAGAAGAGGAGGAGAAGTGAAGAGAGGAGGGGGAAGGGGAAGGGAAGGGGAAGGGGAAGGAGAGGTGAGAAAGTGGGGAAGGATAGGCAAGGAGGAGAAGGGAGGAGAAGGGAGGAGAAGGGAGGAGAAGGGAGGAGGAGGAGAAAAAGGAGAAGAGAGATGTTGATGATTTCATCACAAGAAGAGATAGCAGCAACAGTAGAGGGAGAAGGTGAAAACTGCAAGAATAACTTCCAAACCTTGTCTTCGAGATCCTTCAAGGTCTTGAAAATGTGCTTGACCGTGCGTGGGATCATGCCCTCCAGCGCCTCATCACCGTGCATTCCCTCCATCGTGAAGGTCTTTCCAGAACCGGTCTGTCCATAGGCAAAGACGCACACATTGTAGCCATCCAGGGCGGACTGAGCCAGCTGCGAGATCTCCTCAAACACTTCAGCCTGAGTGCTGGTTGGGTTGAAGACTCGGTCGTAAGAGAACTCGATGGCTCCTCCTCCTCGCCCTTTGAGGCCGGACATCGTGCTGCTGTTGGGATCTGGAGAGTAGAGGCATTTTATTTAAAGGTGTCACTGAAGAAACCTTACTAGGGCTATTTCCATTCAGTGTTACCAAACAATTATTTCTAAACCCTCAAGGAGTCTTTATTCGCATGAAATATACATGAAAATAAACTCTTAACAAAAAAGAAATTATTTCATAAAAGCTGCACACACCTCCACCCTTGCACAATTCAAGAGTCTTCTCGTCAACAAAGCTGATGTGATGGATTACGTCACTGTCTCCATTTCCCTTGATCTCTTCCCCAAGCAGTGGTCTCACTCGGCAGAAGACACGAATATTACCCTGTCAGAATCAAATGCAGTTGTTACATAAGTCATAGAATAGAAAATATGTAAGACCTATTATTACATGTAGATGTGATACAAGTCTTTTCTTGGAAAAGAAAATAAACATTGAAATACCTGCATACACCTCCAGACATTCTACCAAACATAGCAATGATCAATTTAGTACATTACTTCTTCAGTGTCAATAAACCAAATGAGTAAATAAACTTTTTAAAAAACAACAGTGTTTTCTCCTGACAAAATCACAAGATACATTAAAACAACAAAATGTACACTAATTCCTATTTCAACCTTGCCTTCATAAAACCGCACAAAGAACAAGACAAAGGCACACTTTCAACGACACAATCTTAACAAACCTTCAATTCCAGGACGGTGTTGTGAAGCTTCCGTCTGACATTTTCTCCTTCGCGCAGCTTTTTCTCCATGTCTTCAATGGTGTCTTTCTGAATGGCTACCTGGGACTCCAGCTCGGATACGCGTTTGCTCCGGTCGTCAAGCATTATCTTTGTTGACGAAAGCTGGGCTTCAATGCCAGCATGTGCACTTGTTAGATGTGAAACAGTTGACTGAAAAACAGGGAGAAGTTTACACGTTTTGTTTTGCTGTGTAACTTTTTTGGTGAAATAAATTTTCCAAGGAATCAAAATGTATATAATAGTAAAAAAAAAAAAAAATGGAAAAGGAAAAGTAGACATCACTCTTGTACAATACCTTTAGTCCTGCCAGCTCATCTTGTCTGGCAGAGAGTTCCGACTCAAGTGTTTTGATTTGACGTTCAAGTGTGGCTTTGTTGAATTCCAAGTCTTGAATTGTACTTTCATATTTCCTCTTGTCGGCACTTCTCCCATCCTGTTCATTTCTATGAGGAAATTACATCATCTTTACTTTTCTCATATCTCTAAAAGAGTACAAAACACTGACTACATAAAATTACCACAATGACAAAGAATCTGATATCTAATTAAAAAATAAATAAATAAACTTCTTGATAATTGGCAGCATAAAACTTTAACATCCTCCACAACACCTAAGCAACGGAGACAGAGCCAAGGACAGACCTCAGATTGGAAGCCAGTCGGTCAACCTCATCCTGCGTGGCCTGCGATACACTCTGCGTCTTCTCCAGGTTCTGGTTGAGACTCCTCTTCTCCAGTTCTAGGCTCTCAATGCGCATGTCATAGTTCATGAACTTCTGCATCAAGTTCTCGCGTTCCTCTGCTGAGTTCTTCACCAGGGCTTCCATGTCTTGCAGGCGGCCTTTGAGGTCCCATGGCGGTCTTTTACTCTTGCCTAGGATAATGAGGGTTTTGTATAAGAGTAAGTCATGAGGTCTCACTCTATAAAAAAATAATAACAGAAAATATCTTTTTTCACTCATGAATAACATACCACTTCATCTAGTCATCAGCCAAACCTTATGCATTATGCCCTTAAATTACACATTTTGCTCCAAGCAGGAAAGCTTAAAAGTGAAT